CCCCCCGTTCCCGCTGCGGCTGCCCCCCAAAGCGCCAGTGTTTAGCAGCCCACCGGTGGAGGAGCAACCCAAGAACGTCGACCCCCTGGTCTTGGAGCTGGTGAACACCAAGATTGTGGACCGGGGACCGCCCGTGCAGTGGACAGACATTGCTGGGCAGGTGTCCGTGAAGGCCACCATTGAGGAGGAGCTGGTGTGGCCCATCCTGCGTCCCGGTGCCTACACCGGGGCGAGCCGGCCGCCCCGAACCATCCTGCTGTTCGGTCCCCACGGCACGGGGAAGACCCTGCTGAGCCGGTGCATCTCCACTCAGCTGGGCTCCACCTTGCTGAAGCTCAGTGGGACAACCCTGCTCTCCACCTGGAAAGCTGAAGCCGAGAAGATCCTGCAGACCGTCTTCTTCGTGGCCAGCTGCCGGCAGCCTGCGGTGGTGCTCATCACTGAGGCTGAGTCCTTGCTGGAGGCCCGGGCTGGCGAGGACGGAAGCCAGGTGAGCAACCTCAAATCCCAGCTCCTCTCCTACCTGGACAACGTGGCTACCTCATCCGACCAGAACGTGGTCATCATCGGGACCACCTCCCGGCCTGGCAGCATGGACGAAGCTTCTCACCGGCGCTTCGCCAAGCGGTTCTACGTCGCCCCGCCAGACAGCATCGCCCGGCGGCAGATTCTGCATCACGCCCTGGCTCAGCAGAGCTCTTGCCTGAGCGAGCGGGAGATGGCGTCCCTGGTGCAGCACACAGAGAGCTTCTCAGGCAGCGAGCTGGTCCAGCTCTGTCAGCACGCCGGGGCCACCACGCTGCATGGTTTGCCAGGCCAGATCCAGCCCACCTCCTACCAGGACTTTGAGAAGGCCTTCTGCAAAGTCCGCCCTGCTGCCTCGCAGAAGGAGCTGGACTTGTTCCTGGAGTGGGATAAAATGTACGGCACCAGGCACTGACGGCGCGGCACGGGGAGGGCCAGGGGCACGGGGACAGACCCTTCGCCCCAGCCCGAGGCTTCGAGGCCGGTTTTGGGACTTGGCTGATGACCGCAGGGTTTGGAGGAGCCGGGTTGGGGCCTGTGGGGGCTTCGGTTCCCCCCGAGAGCCGGCGTTGGGGCCAGACCCCTCCTCCCCAAGTGCAGGAGAACCCTGGGCAGCCCCGACGGCAGCACGACGTCCCTCTGCTTTAACATTTCGGACTCGGCCGGGCTTTTCCTCTTGGATTTTCCGGCAGCCGTCGCCCACAGAACTCAGGATAACCTATTTATTATTTTCCCGTTCATCCGTCCCTGGACCAGCGATGCAGCGAGCGGGGCTGGAGGCGCGGCGGGGTCCGGCTTTCCGGCGTCAGATGCACGAGCTCCCCCTGCCCTGTCTACCCAGAGGCTCGATGATTATTTTTATTGATTACTTTTATTGTTCCTAACAGAAATACCTCGGGCGTTTTTTGAGCAAAGCAGACCCCTCGCACGTGGCACGAGCAGCCCGGCGGCGATGTCCTGCATCGGGGAGGGGGGAGTGGGGAGGGGAGGGACACAAAACTGGGGGGGTTTGGAGTAAAATGCTGTAGATTGTTTAATATACTAGACTTGGGTTTTTATTTTTGTAAGGTATGTAGTATTTTTTTGTTTTTTCTTTTTAACTACTCAGGAAAAGAATTACCTCAGAAAAAAAAAAAAAGAATGTGTTTCTAAAAACTCTTTTTATCTTCTCAGAAAAGGAAAAAGAGATTTTTAAGAGTTTTCAGACCTGGGACAAAGCTGCCTCGTGCATTTGCTTCCAAAAAAGGGTGGAGGAAGAAAGGAAGAAAGAAAAGAAAAAAAAAACTTGAAGCTGTTACAAAGATGAAAGTTGAATGTATTTTGGGTGCTTTTCACATATATTATGCCATAATTTTATTTTAATTTTTTTTTAACATTGTTATTGTAGCATTTGGTGGAGTAACGTGTCTTCAACGGAAAGAGTATTAGTGCCGTAGTTTGGAAGCTGTTGCCAGCACCACTTTTTGGATCAGGCTGGGTCCGTCACCCTCCAGCATCTCCCACTGCATCCCAGGGCTGGGAACCGGGGGTGTGGGGACGGGGGGCCCTGGGCCACCTCTTGCTGACCCCCCTGGGGTGCAAAGCCACCTTGCACAGAGCATGAACCAGCACATCCACCTGACATCCCCCCACTTTGCATCGCCTAGTGGGGCTGGTTTTTCTCCCCCAATTTAAAAAAAAACCAACTCTTTTTTTTTTCTTTTTAGACCTATATATTGTACTGGGGGAGCTCAGAGCAGCCCCCCCATAACCTCAGGGTCTGCACATGCAGAGGGGATGCATCCGCCCTGTGGGGGCTTCATTCCCCCCCCCGTCGCAGGAGCGAGGTGTCTGCCAGCTTTGGGAGGTTTTCCCCATTTTTTTGCAGTTTTCCATTTAAGCATGCAGGGTCGCGTGCAGGCAGCTGCCTGCAGGCAAAGGGCATTACTGGGGCAGATGCCCCCTCACCATCCCCCCCCCAACCTCCAGGAAGTGGTGATGGGCTCCTGAAGACTTTTTATTATTATTATTATCATATTTGACTTTGTACACTCTCTGTAACCATTTCTACCTCATTTTGCAACATATTGTACATGAAAGTATTTAATTCATGTCTTATTAATGTCTGAAAAAGAAATGCTTTTGAACTGTAATGGTCTACCTCAAGAAATACTGTATTTTAAAAAGAAAAGTATTACACAGTATTAAAGAGATTACATGAATGCCCGGCTGAGAGCCTGCAGTGCCTTAGCTCAGCCCTCGCCCCTCCCGACTTTTTCAGCCCCGGGGGGAGTCCCTTGGGGGTGGCTGTGGGTAGGGGGGCATGTCTCAGGGGATGGGAGAGACATGGGGGGATATTGCGGGGGTGTGGGGAAAGGGCACTAAAGGTGGTGGTGGGGCAATTACAGCCAGGGGAGGGGCCGAGCCTCACACACCCCCCTCCCCTTAGGGGTGTTGGGGGGGGTCTGGGTGTGCTTCTCCCCTCATGAGGGGTGATTGGGGGTCCAGATGAGTCCCCTCCCATTGTTAGGGGTGTTGGCATTCCAGTTGTGCTTCCTCCCCTCATTAGGGGTGATGGGGAGGGTCTATTTTTGCCTCCTTCCCTCATTAGGGGTGATGGGGGGGTCCAGGTGTGCCATCCCCAGGAAAGCCGGGCTCCATCCCGCAGAACGGTGATGTGGGAAGGCAAACGCCATCACCCCGCACGTCCCCCCTTCCTCCTCCTTCCCCGGCTTTGTACACCGAGCGTGACGTCTCCTGGTATGGAACATCCTCGTGGTCCGTCAGGGTTGGCCATCCCGGCCGTGTCCCCTCTCAGCCCCTTGTGCCCCCCATCCCGTCGCTGACGGGGGGTGAAGAGCCGGAATGGCCTCGAGAGCTCAGTGACAACGAAACCCGCCAGTGCTGTTGCACCATCCCCATCCCGAATTCAAACCGCAGCACTGCACCCACTGCTAACGAAAGCCAACTCCATCCCAGCCGAAGCCATGACAGTCCGTTAGGTTATGCACTTGGACAATTTCCTATCCTGAAATCTGTTAATTTGGTTGATCCGTTCCCCCGTGTCCGGGGCACTTTACGAGTCGTAGGAGCAATGCCGAGTGAGCAAGAAGACACTTCGCTCCAGTCGGGAGCCAGGCAGCTGCGGTGAGGGCTGTGTGGCAGTGGGTGTGCAATGGGGGACCCCCGGAGATGCCCCGGCATTCCCGGGCGTTCCCGCGTGTTCCCAGCCATCCAAGCGTGCTGGCGTCCCCTCCCAGCGCCCCGTCAATGGCCAGGCTCTGTGTATTGATAACCAGAAACACTTTGCCGTGAGCTCCAGCCGGCAGCACCGCTCCATGAATGCCGGCCCTGGGAAGCCAGCAGCCCTGACCCGGGCTCCGTGTGCTGTCCCCGTCCCCCAGCACGACTGTGACCCGAAAGGAGGGGACACTCATCCCTAGTACTCTGTGGGACCGGACCCAGCTCCCTCCATCCCTGGCCAAGCCACAGGGATGGATTTTTCACCCTTTGCTACTGTTATTATTGGAAATAAGGGGAAAAGCAGCTCCTGGCCAATGGCTGCTCATTTGTTTGTTTGCCCAAGTGCCTTGGCCAGGCTAATAAACGTGTGTTCCCCCCGGCTCGCCCCAGGTTCTGTCCCTGCACCCAGTGCAGGAGTTAAGCTCATTAGCAATGGCAGGTGCGCAGCCACTGGAGAGGCCCAGAGCAGAAATAATTGTGGCAATTAGTGCGGTGGCTTCAGGGTGTTTCAGGGCGAGGCATGGGGTGCTGTACCCCCCGTACCGGCGGGACGTGGTGGCATCTCTGGTCGGTGGCCGGGAGGTATCTGGAGCCTTTGTGCTGGTGCTGGCACATCCGGAACAATGCGGCAGCTCTGGCCTTTTATCGGGACCCATGAGGTTACGGCTCTATGAATAAATTACTTGGTGGATGGGCTGCGGAGTCATGAGCCGGGAAAATGGGAGGAAGGATTCCTCCTCCTTCTCCTCCTCCTCTTCCTCCTCCGCCAAAGGGAGGCTCAGCCCCTCTCCACCTGCTGCGAGGGATGCTGTGCACATCCCTGCTCCCAAACCTCGCAGATGCCTTTGCTTTGTCCAGCCCCACGGGCAGCACCGGGCCAGTCTTGGCCGTCAGAGGAGCCTCCCG